CAAATGAATTAATAAATGTGATAAAGTCATACAGTGGAATATTATTTGGCTATAAAAAGGAATGGGGTAGTAGTGATTCATGTTACAGGTTTATCTTATAAACATTATGCTAAGTGAAAGAAGCCAGTCACAAAAGGTCACATGTTACATGATTCCATTTATGTGAAATGTTCCAAACAGATCCACAGAGGCAGGAAGCAGATTGGTCATTGCCTAGAGCTGGGGGGGTGGGGGTGGGGAATGGAGAGTGACTACTAATGGCTATAAGGCTATACTTCTACGTGAAGTGATGAATATTTTCTAAAATTAACTTGGTGATGGTTGTACAACCTTGTGAACTTTACACTGAATTGTACAATTTAAATTGGTGAATTGTGGGTATGGAATTTTATCTCAATAAAGCCACTAGAAATTTTAAAAATAAAATTGAGATTATGGAGAAAAAGCAATGGGATTTGTTGGTTCAGTGAATGTTGCCTTGGCAACTCACTAACAACTTGACATATACCTGTACCCCCAACTCCTCCCAGCAGAGCACGGAGGAGCTTCTCCATTCTAGACCCCTGAACTCACTAGAAAGGAATGCGCGGGTCACAGATGAGAAGACAGAGCAACAGAATGGGAAGGGACCCATTTACCACAGCCCTCTACTGCCAATAGCAGCATTTACGTGAATCAATTTAAAAGAAAGAGTTCTGATTCTGGCCCAGATGGAATAAGCCCAACAACGCCTCTGTCTTCTGCTGACTACATCCACAACCCTGGACCAAACACGAAAGCAAATTCCCGAGGAGTCTGGAGGATTAGGTCAAGATGGTGGGTTGTGGAGGAGGTGGCCACACAGGGAAGGGTTCCCACGTCCCCTCTTCTCCCACAGCCTTGCTCGGAGGATGGATTCCACTAGCAAAGCTGTTTGGTAGTGCAGGAGCTGAAACTCTAAAAGAAACTTCGTTGTCCTGAAGAACTAAGAAAGAAGGCTCCTGCAGTGCAGAGAAGGTATGGCTTTGCCCCGGAGACAAGTCCCTAGTCACAGAGCTGCATGGTGGGAGCAATGAAGGCAGCTGTACAACTCTTGAGATAAACCCCATCTTCTGGTCTGAGGCCCAGAGAAAGGAGCCCTCGAAGGCTGGAAAGGATAGGGGAGCCCAAGCACTGCATATGAGCCCCCCGAGATCCCAGGCTCATCTCTGAGCTGTGCAGGACAGCTCCAAAGCGGTCCAGCAGAAGCTCTGAGAACGCCTCCAGACGGACCCTGCTGCCACCAGACTCACCCGAACGCACATGCACCGACAGAGCCAGGGGCACAGCACAGCTCTGGGGACGGAGCTGACGCTTACTCGCACCCACAGCAGCACAGAACCTGCAGAATGAACTGAACTGGGACTGCCTGCCTTAAAAAATCTCAACGGTCTCCAGAGGAGTATATAACAGGATCCAAAGTGGACCCAACAAAACACTCAAAATGTCCAGGATATAACCCAAAATTACTTGCCATACCCCACCCCCAAAATCACAGGAAAATTTGACCCATTCTCAAAGGAGGAAAAAAACAACAGATGTCAACACTAAAATAACCCAGATTTGGGAATCATGAATGACTTTCAAGCAGCTATTGTTAACTATATTCCATGAGGTAAAAGTAAAATGGTAAGAAAGACTGACATTCAAAGCAGAGAAATGGAAACTATGAAAAAGAACTGAATGGAAATTTTAGAACCCAAAATCAAACCCTGAAATAAAACAGCCAGCGGATGTGCTCCTCGGCAGAATGGGAGACAGAAGAGCCCGTGAACCTGAGCTGAACCAGTGGATACTATGTGAGCCGAGGAACCGAAGTTAAGACACACAGTGAACAGAGCGCAGTGACCTGCGGGACGATAGCAGAAGGTCTAACATTCACATCACTGGAGTCCCAGTCGGAGAAGAGAAAGGGATTGGTGCAGAAAAAAATATTTGAAGAAATAATGGCCAAACACTCCCCAAATCTGGTGGAAGACATAAATTTACAGATTCTAAATGCCCAGAGATTAAACTTGAAAGAAAAAAAGTGGTCTATTTTCAGTTGAGTTTCGCTTGGTAACCCATTCAAACTTCTCCTAAATGTTCTAATTCCTAAGCTATTAACTCATTTTGCCTTCACTGAACAAATACATACTTTCACTTCATTGAAAACACCACTAATTGTAAGAAGCACCAGTTCTTAGTGTATATTTTAAAATTCAACCAATTAATTTTAAGACGCCATTGTGAAAGATGCGTCCTCATTTCACAGAAGTGAAAATGTAAGAACAAGTACGTCTTAGAATAATTACAAAACCTCCAGTGTTAAGTACTCTCTGAGCCCTAGCAGATACTGTGGTAAGTAGAACAGCCACAAGCATCCGGTCCTAACACCTAATTTACACCATTCCTCTTCTGACATTACTCATTGCTTGCTTCTTGCTTTAGCAGGAAAAGACAAAATACGCACTTAGAAAAACTCATTGACCGAAAGTGTGAAACTCTTGTGCGAGGCCCCTCCCCCTCTCACTTCACAGCCCTGCTCACCCAGCAAGGGGAAAGCACAGCCCAGTGAGACCCCGGTTTCCGCCCTAACCAGATTCCTCATCTTCATCAGACACTATCCTCTGGGTTTTTCTGGAAAGAGTGACAGGCTAGGTGACCCTTTTTTATTTTCCATTTTAAGTTTCAGCCTATTTCCACCCCACCCCCTACCCTCCCAACCCAAAAGGAGAAACTCCTTGCAAACCCCACCATGTTTGCAAAACTAACTCAAGCTGATTTCCTTTTTTAATGAAAACCTATTTTTGTCTTAATCTGGGGCAGTTTTACGTACCTTTAGAGCAAGTTTCATTCTTAGATGAAGTACTAAGAGAATGCATTAGAAATTCAGTTTTTTAAATTAAAAAAAAAAAGGAGGGACCAGGTTTTAAAAAATTGTATCGGCCATTAAGTAATATAGTTCTCTTCATAGTACTTGACCCCTCACTCCCACTTCTGAAATAAAATATAAGCTGTACAAGCCTGGGTGTGCCTCTAATGAGATCCTATTCGTGGCCATTAAGCCTTTGGGAAAAAAAAACAACCACAATATTTCCCTCTCCTACATTTAAAAGTTTAGATTCCTTATTCCTTCCTTTCTCCAGATGTGCAGTGTTTAACCCCATGTTTCCAGTCCATACTGCCAACACTGCTACTCTGGTTCGTGGTGGTGGACGAGCGTACCGACAGTGGTCACAGATGGCTCACAGGTCTAGGACTGCCCCAGCTGAATGCCACTTGAAGAGTCTCCTCCCCAACTCCAAGTCACTAGTCTGTTCTTTTCATCCACAGAGAAAGAGGGTTAAAAACACAGCACTGGTCGACTGATAAAATGGACTTAGCGTGGTCAATCTGCACTGCAGAATGACCCGATTCCCGCACACCGAGCATTTTGCTCCTCTTCGGGCAACGGTCGCATAAGCAGGCAGCGCTGCCCCAGAGGACAAGTCAGCCTCACCGAGCACTCCCACTGTCTACCCCTGGCACTAGCTGGCGTCCGAGGCACAGCCCGCTGGGCTGAATGCAGAAAGCAGAGGTCTCTTCTCTGGAACACCGCTTTGGTTTCCTGGGAGTCTGAACGTGGCTGACCACCTAAATGGCCATGCTGTACACAAAGGCTGAGGCATAACCTACAATCACAGACCCTTCCATCTGGATGCCCCAAAGCGCCCTCCGTATTTGCTCTCCTGGAGAGCAAGTAGCTGCTAGGTCCCTGTGGGGAGAGCCTATCAGATAAGCTTGGAGCCTTTGTGTAGCTCAGTCTGGAAACTAAAATGTGAGAGTAAAACTACAAACTGATGTGTTTCATTTACTGGGACACATGTGGGGCCACTTATCAAGCCTAGTTTTTTTTTTTTAAAGAGAAAAACTGGACACACTGAGGAGTTCAATTCTCAAGCCTCGGATATATCAGCCATTTTAGGAGGCCTTGAGAAAAATGATCAAGTATTTTCTTTCAGTCAAGTATACTCACATTTTCTTTTGGCTCTAAGGGAAGCGGGTAGTAGAGGGGTGAAGGTCAGGAGTTGAAAATATTATTTGACAAAATAATTATGTTTGCAAGCTGCCGCACTAGTGCGACAGAGATTGGGGGTTTGGCACGAAGGAGCACCCGCCTCGAGATCTGATCCCCCCACCGAGCAGCCCGCCACCTGCAGCCTGGGGCTGGGCCCGGGGGAGGGGTGCCGGCAGACCCTGGCCTCTAGCCATGCTACCTCTCTTCGGAGCACTGGATCAGACATGGCAGATAACCAGCCAAAAATTAAAAAAGGAAAAGACAGGGGAGAGAGCATGGGGAGGGGGAAAAAAACAGAATTTGGACTCAGAGAGTCTTTTCAAACACTTTAATCCTTTCTCGCTGATGGATCCTGGAGCGGCCGTGGCTGGCACTGGACCCTGCACCGGGAAAGGCCGACTCCCTGAGCCAATACGTTACAGAGAAGACTGCTAATCACCTAAATAGAAACTGGAATCTGCTCACATCAAGTCCCGTTCCCCCATCACCAGAGGGACACCACAGTGTTCTGAAACACACTCTTGACATCATTTGGCAGGCAACCCTATTTTGTTGAACATGATTCATCCCTTAGGTTATTGTTTTTAATATAAGAAAGTGAGCTTTTAAATGCCAAACAAATTTTGCAGCAGGGAGACAAAAGATATTCCAAGTGGTCTCACTGGACCTTCCACCAACTGCGTCCACCAAATGGCTTAAAAGACAACCTTCCCATGGTGTTGCAGAGAGGAGGCAGGGACAGAGCTGTCCAACTATTACCTAATACAAGACTTTGTTCCCCAAGTTCACAGAGACAGTATTTACGGGTCAGGCTGGACTCAGGCGGCCAGGGCGGGAGTGGGAGCCGGGGAGTGTGAGCGGCAGCGGCAGTGAGTGCACACAGCTGGGGGCCAGGACTGACCAACTGCTGTGTCTACACGATCTGCTTGCTCCTCAGACGTACCTCCTGTCCATGTTGCCACTGACCATGAGATGGGGAGGGCTGTCCCTGAGGCTCACGCACGTGAAGTCGCCCAGCGCATTCCCCAGCTTCGAGAGGCAGCGCTCCGCTTCCAGGCTGTAGACCAGGATCTGGGGAAGAAACACAGCGGGTGTCCCGTCACATCCAGCAGACCACAGCCAGCGTTCCGTCTCAGCGTCGTCCCGGGCCTATTAAAGATGTTCTGCCACTAGTATCCTGACCGTTTCCAGGTACTGATATTATAGGGACATGGCTGTTAGAATGATACAAAGAAATGCAAAAGGAAATAAAGGAAAATCCAGAGAGTTCCTTGGTCCAAGGTGCAAATAAACTCAAAAGACACAAAGGAAAATGGCAAGGAGTCAAGCAGGTTCCCAGGTCTCTAACAGAAGAGGCGTGCAGACTAGCCCCACGGCTTCTGGTTTGGAATGGCCGGGAAAGGGCAGACCCAGAGCCTTGCAGCAGGGCCAGCACGGGCTCTTTCCTCCCCCGGTACTTACACCGCAGGGGACAGGAAGCACATACGAGCACCCAGGAGGATGGAGCGTGCAGAGCTAACCGCCAGCTGATTCCTCTAGGCTGAACTACAAACCCAGACACACGGTCCCGGTCCCGAATGTTTCTCCCATCAGTCACTCTCCACTTGCTAGTGTTAAGCTCTGCTCCATAAGGTATGGAGGCCAAGAAGAAGGTCTCCTTGATTTCTAGACAGTGGGTTCGCTAAATGTAAACACTTCTGTGCCTTCTCTCCAGCAAAAAGAGAAAAAAGATGATTTATAAATAATCTTTCCAAAAATTGTCTCTTACTTAAAAACAAAGCAAAACAAAAAACCTTAGTAATTCAGTTCAACTTAATTAACATTAAATGCTTGCTATGGGTCAGTCACCGTTGTAAATACTGAGGACAGTACAAAAGCCTCCTCATTAACAGAGTTCTGTGTACACATCCTATTTTGTTGATCGTGGGGTTAAAATTAATCACTGAACTCAAAAGTTGTTTTTTTGTTTTGTTTTGTTAATCCTCACCTGAATATATTTTTCCATTGATCCCCAGAGAGAGTGGGAGGGAGGGAGGGAGGGAGGGAGGGAGGGAGGGTCAGAGAGAAACATCAATGTGAGAAACATCGACTGGTTGCCTCCTACAGGACCCTGACCGGGGCTGGGGGATCAAATCAAAACCCAGGTACATGCCCTTGACATGCCCTTCGGTCCACGGGCCAATGCTCTAACTGCTGAGCCAAACCAGCCAGGGCATGAAAATTTTAATATGGATATTTTGTAGCGAGATTCTCCTCTCTTAGTACACATATGAAAATGTGCTTTCCTTTTCTTGTTAACCTATTTATTTCTTAGCTATCGGTATACAGGCTCCAATTTTAGTATTGAGAAGTGAATCAACTGTCTCCACCTTAAACTCCATCAATCTCACTGTCTCTTTTGAAATTCCTAATAGTCCAGGCAACACTCTAATATTAACTAACTATTGCGAACAGCATCCAAAAGAGGGAGACTTCTAAGTTTAAAACGCCTTGTTAATCCATAAAGAATATAGTGAGCAAGATAAATTTTATTCTTATCTTTATGTAGCTGAAAATAAAACTTTCTGAGAAAATTTCAACAATTCTAAAATATCCAAAATAAGACTATTCTTCCTGAAGGTAGAAAAATTAGAAACAGCAACCTCATAGTCTATCATAATAGTAAGATTTTACACTTGTCATTACAGACCTTTCAATAGGGTTCTTGGACTCAATTATCTTGTTTTTAAAATACTTCAACTTCTATAGCAGGAAGGTAGGCCTTTACAATACAAAATGTCCATGATAACTATAAGAATGAAAATCTGAGTCAGTTCCCATTCTTTACTTTTTCTAGAAGTTCTTTCTTGACAAGTAGACGGATCGTTTGAGGGTTACACAGTGAGATCTCATCCCTCCCCAAAGACACTCTGCATAAAGACACCTAAGTTAGTTGTCAGGAGCCAAGTATTTCAACAATGCCTAATAATTCAGTGGATCAGAACTATCCGAGAGCACCTTCACCATTGCGTTTAGTTAAAGGCCACAGAGATTAGAAAACACATTACCCGTCTTGGAGGCGGTTCCTCCCTGTTACAAGTCCCTTAACGACCTTTACCATTCCTCCTCCCTCCTCCCTCCCATACTCTCTCTCTTTTAATAAGGTTGAGCAAATGGGACTTCATTTTATCTGATTGCCACAGACTAGTGAGATTAATTATTAATGCTCACGCTCTCCCTCTTGTTAAGACCATGCATTAGACTAATTTTTCTCTTTATTGCCCTAGTCGGGTGACTCTCAACCCATGGCCACTTGGTTCACCCTCAGAGGTGTATGGACATGCTGGAAAGAAGGAAAAGACAGTATACCCATAGCTAAAATCTTGGAGAAAATATTCTGCACTAATGTGACCACGAAATCAATAGATGTTACTGGGGATTTTTTCTTTTAAGTACCAAGTGGATATTGCGAAAGAGCTTAGTGATTACAGGGCAAATTTTTATAGGCATCAGAAGCTTCTTCAAGAACTTTCCAGAACAATTAAACCACGTGAAGGCCGGTGTAGAGCTGCAAAGATGACTACAGGAGATGCGGCGAGCAGTCTGGGGCTTTTCCGCTTCAGCCTCCAGGCAGATCTGGAGGCACCTGGGGAAGTGAGCACTGTTTGAAGAGAACTTGGGAAAAACGTTCTGTTTATCTGTCTGTTTTTTTCTTCTTAGAGATCTTAAAGTATTTTCCTAAATCCTAGTCTTAGAATCCTAACTTGTCATTTTGTCCAAGTTAATCTAACGTAACAGAATACATGACAAAAGGTGGTAACCTCTGCACATCCATCTCTCAGAGGAAACCTCTTCACAGTTCAGTGTACATACTGCCAGGCTGCTTCTATATGCGTCTGTCTTGTGCCTATCGGTCTCTTCCCTCTCCCTGTATGTGTGTATACAATTATTCTTTTCTACAATTTATCTTTCCTGCTGAACAATATGAGAGTTCTTTCCTCGTCAATACCTCGAGGAAAATCTTGTTATTTTTAATGGCAGCACAGAATTTCTCTATGGATCTAGAATTCCATACTCATAGATATTGGGGCTGTTTCTAATTTTTAGACAAATAATGCTCTAATTCACTCAACAGCCAGTCCCCAGTATTCATCAGTCATCCTCAATGCAGTGGGCGCCGGAATGACAGGGATGGCGGATGACGTGCGAAGCCCCCCTGCTGCTAGCTGAAACAACCCCCTGCGCCAGCCGGTGCGCAGCCACCAGCTGTCCTGCTCCTGCATGCGAGGGACTCGCCTCTCTGAAGAGACCCACCTTACAGCCATAGCCTAGCAGCTGTGGTGTGAGCAGCAGGGACAGCTGTGCAGAGTCAGGAAGGAGGCCGCAGGCCCAACGTCCGGGAAGCATCAGCCACTGTCCTGGTGCAGGTGGGCTCTGCACCCCCCAGGAGTGACGCAGACCAGTTAGTGTGCCCAGGATTGGCTTTCCAACCAAACCATGAAGGACAGAGCTGACAAGTGGCTATTGTCCCTGCAGTGGGGTGAGCTCAAGGAGGCCAATGTCCTCCTTCACCGAGGAAGAACTGGATTTAGCACTGCAAACACTTCCTACAACTAGGACTAGTTTGTGGCACCCTCATAATCAGACCAGCACCACTGCACCCAGAAATGGCTGTGAAGAGATGACAGAGCCTTGCAGCCCCAAACTTTTGGTCATGTGCTGATGATGAAAAAAGGAACCCCTTTGTGTTTTCTTCAGTTACGTTTACAAATCTAGTCTTCTTCACACTCATTTATCGGCCAAAGGCATTGTACCAACCGTAGTATCAACCCGAGCAGCTGCTCACCTCCTAAGAACCCGGCACTGGCCTTCCAAAGGGGTGAGGAGTGGTCAGAAGGCTTCCTTACAAGACAGAGCATTCAAAAAGCTTTGTGAATTAAAGCTAACTTGTCTGCCACCATAAACAAAGGAGAAGCAGCCCTGGCCACTCTGGCTTAGCCATGAGAGAATCGGCCCTCGGGCCAAAGGGTGGAGGGTTCAGTTCCCATCACGGGCCCGTCCTTGGGTTGCAGATTCGATCCCGGGCGCCAGCTGGGGTGTATGCGGGATACAACCAATCGATGTGTCTCTCTCACATCAATGCTTCTCTTTCTCTCTCCCTCTTTCCCTCCCTTCCATTCTACCTAAAAAGCCATGGAAAATAAATAAAAAGGGGAGGACGTGACAGAGCACAGGATTAGGAGACGCAGTGCTGGATTGAAGGAAAATGAAAAATAAAGACATGGGGACTTGACTGAAATTCTTGGAGATGACGGAGTCTACCTACTTTTTCTGATCCCCAATAACCTACCTCCTCACTACCACATATATTTTGCTCTTACGAGAGAGAAAGTCACGGACAGAAGCCAAACCCTGGAGTAGAGCAGGTAAGCGCACAGGCTCACTGCCTCCCGCCCCGCCCCCGCCCCCGGTGCTCTGGTGCCTGAGCACGCAGGCTCGGCCTCGCGCCGGTGCTGGAGGTACTCCGTCTGCACACCTCCGCCGGCGTTTCCACCGGGCCTTCGCTTCCGCTGACCTTCCCAGACCTGTGGTTCTCACACACTGGAGGCTGGGAGAGTCACCAACGGGGCTGGTATTTTATTTATTTATTTATTTTGTTAATCCTCACCCGAGGATGTTTCTTCATTGGTTTTTAGATGAAGAGGGAGGGAGTGAAGGAGAAAGAGAGAGAGAGCACTCGAGAAAAACATTGATGTGAGAGAGACACAATGATTGGTTGCCTCCTGCATGACCCCAACAGGGGCCAGGGATCAAACCTGCAACCCAGGTATGTGCCCTTGACTGGGAACAGAACCCAAGACCCTTTGGTCCGTAGTCAGATGCTCCACCTGCTGAGCCAAACCAGCCAGGACGAGACTGTCACTTTAGCAGGTCAGCTGAGGCTGTTCCCAAGCACCCCACCGTCTGTTGTGAACCCGGTGCTGGACCTAGATGACACGTTCCTTGGGAAAGAAACCCTACTGTTAATCCTTGCAGCTCTGACTACAGCGCAGCACGTGCCAGGTCTCAGCATTCAAACCGCCTGTTGGGTA